AATATAATATAATTTATTAATATATAAGTGTTATATATTAAAAATAATAAATATTATTCATATATAATAATCCAATTAAAATATCTGACAACAAAGAAATTTAAAAAAATTAATTAAAAGAAGTTAATAATCTAATAAAAAAATATTTATTAATATGTAAATAGTATATATTAAAAAATAACATTTAATATATATTAAAAAAATAGTACATATTAAAAAAAATTAAAAAAAAACATTTATTAATATATAATAATTTAATAATAAAAAAAAAAGATATGTAGAAATGGTCCTTCTAGTTTGGTTGCAGAAATGGTTCATGAGGGTAAAATAGTCATTTTAAAAAAGTTAACCAGTCAAGCTGTTAAAGTTAACGAACGGGTGACCAAAACCGTAACAAAACATGTTGAAAATGACTAAATCTACAACTTTTCAAAAGTTTGGACCTTAGCCACATAAAATGAAAAATGAAAATCCACATGAACCATTTTTACAATTTTGTCTATTTAAAACTAAGTTTTTTTATCATCTAGTTATAATATCTTTTCAAATTTAGCATTAAAAAGTAAACAGATATTAGTTGAGTTCCAGTTTGTTTTTACTTTTTGCGATTAATCAACAATCAAAAGATGAATTCATGTTGTCATTATTTTCTCTCTGTTGCGTTGATAATAATTGATGGGTGAAATGGGCAATTATTAAAAGAAAATGACAAAATAGAACGAATATAATTGTACGATGATATCATATGGTTGTTTGGCCAATTACGTGTTCTATTTGAGTATTTGGTCCAAATAAGTGGTCTCGTCTCGGCTAAGGCTATCCGGTATGGGGTTAATATCACGCGTCTTGGGCTGAGGCGACGCGCCTCCCCACGCGTGAACACCGCCCCCAATTCTGGTGGGGTGCGTGTAACGTGGTTTCGGAGACGGGACGAGACGACGAATGAGAAGCCTTCTTTTTTGTAACGGGTGGATTTTGGTGGGGAACGGTCTTTTGATCGTTTAATAAAAAAAAATATTTTTTAAAATTTAAACACACTCAACTTCACCTATAAATTACATACTATTCTATTTACAATTTCCACTTCAAAAAACACTTTCTGCATTTTATTACCATCTACAAAAAACACTCATCTCTTTCATATTTTTTTTCTCTCTATATGGATTCAAATCAAAACACTCCAAACACTCTAAATGCAAATGTTAGCTATATGCAATTGTTAACCTCCACAATCCAACAATAACTTCTATTCACCACTTCATACCCTCAAACTTCCACCAACAACAACCATAACAATTCAATCAACCTCAATTCCAAGCCTTTCAATAACAACATTCTCAACAATTTCAACAACCATCTCAACAAATTCAACAACCTTCTTTTATACCTCATCAACCATCTCAAGTCTCATTATCTCAATCTCAACCTATAAATATCGACAATGACAACGACGACGAACAGGTCCAAGAAACACAACAACTAACTCGTCGAAGGCAAAAAAAAAAAACAAAAGATCCAAAAAAAAAAGAGAACTACTGCATGGAACGAAGACGATGAGGAAGCTTTAGCGAAAACTTGGATTTTTATATCGCAAGACGGGGATGTCGGCAACTCGCAAACGGGTCAAAGTTTTTGGTGTCGTATTTTAGATCATTTTCACGCGTTATTAAGAAAGAAAACGGAGCGGACGTACGACTCGATCAACGCAAAATGGCGTGATTTACGAGCGGCTTGCATCAAATTCAATGGCATATTTGACAAGCTTAAAAATATGCATAGAAATAGTAGCAACGATTACAACATTTTAACAACCACGGCCTACGAATACAAAATTACCACCAATGGTAAACTGTCCAGCCACCAAAAAGCGTGGGAAGTTTGTCGTAACGGTCCAAAATGGGTTCTATATCCAGAAATGTCGCATTCGGGATCTACCACCGGTTCCAACAAAAGGGCAAGAACGTCCGAGTCGGACGTGGGTTTTGGAATCGACCTCAACGATGACTTTGACGCCACCGAGGGGGAGGGCCCACCGGACGTCCAACTTCGTCGACCACCGGGAAGGGACAAAGCGAGAAATGGAGCGTCTTCAAGCGGAAAAGCACCGACAACTAGCGAAGGCGAGCTTGCGACATCCATAGATTAAGCTCTAGTTTTTCTAGAAAAAAATACGAATCAACGGAGGAAGCTCGTCGCCAAAAAATAGCTCTTACCGATCTTCAAATCATAAACACAAAGCCCTAACCGGATATCGATCCAAAAAATCTTGCAACGTTTCTTAAAATTCAACGACAAGTCAGGGACAAATATGAAATCTAGGTTCTAATATTTATGGTTTTAAGTAATTTATGATTTTTATTTATGGTTTTAAGTAATTTAGAATTTTTATTTTTGTTATGTTTTTTAAGAATTTTAAGATTTTATTTTGTGTTTTTTATATTAATGTAATGTGTTTTTAATTTTAGTGTAATGTATGGTTATTATTTAAATTTTGGTTTTTATTTAAATTATGGTTTGTATTTTGTTTTTTATTTAATATAATGTTAAAAAAATAAAAAAAATAAAAAAATGAATTTGTGGAATGGTAACCATTTGTCCATCTCTATTGTTTAGTGAGTTGGTAATGAAGCTGATGTAACGCATTAAATAACAACATTTTTTCGGTGGATTGATCGTGACAACCAAGGGCTAACTTGGTCCTCATTGAGATTTGTCCCATATTTTCAACCAACCAGATAAACAAAAACTTTATCAACCGAAAAAACCCACACAACATTAAAACTGTTGTTTTCTTTCAAACTCAAATGATAATCAATAACTAAAATATTTGGAAGAGATAGGTGGTGGAAATAAAAATGAGTCCCCTTTTTTACAAGTAACAAGAGCATATGTAGTACACAAATAGATAACTGATCGAGATTGCATTGTCTGAGATAATGGAGAAAAAGCAAGTGGCCATCATCGGAGCCGGAATCAGTGGCCTCCTCGCCTGTAAATACTGTCTCTCCAAAGGTTTCAAACCCATCGTTTTCGAGTTAGAATCCGACATAGGTGGCGTATGGATGAAAACCATTAATACCACGAGGCTCCAGACGCCGAAACTTGTGTTTCAGTTTTCCGACTTCCCATGGCCGTCTTCTGTCACCGATGACTTCCCTAACCAACAAGAACTTCTAGACTACATCCGGTCCTACGCCACCCACTTTGATCTCATACCCCACATCAAATTCAATTCTCGAGTCAAGGGAATTAGATATGACGGACCATCGTCGGAGACATGGTCGCTCTGGAACGGCACCGGCGAACCATTTCCACCGGAAGGCAAGTGGATTGTCACGGTGGACGACACTCAAACTGCCACCACCCAGGTATGGATGATTCATGATCATGAATATGTCATCATCTTCAGAGTTCTCGCATGATTAATCTACCTAATTTACGGTGGAATCACCAGGTCTACACCGTCGATTTCGTGATTCTCTGTTTGGGAAGATTCAAAGATGTTCCAAACATACCGGATTTCCACGCCGGAAAAGGCCCTGAAGCTTTCCAAGGCCCGGCGATACACTCCATGGACTACGCAGCCATGGATAACGACACAGCTGAAGAATTCGTCAAAGAAAAGAGGGTCGTCGTCGTGGGATTCGGAAAAACTGGACTCGACATTGCAAGAGAGTGCTCCTCCATCAATGGTTAGTTGCAGGTGGTCATCTTCACACTTTCAACCTTCTCCGGTCATCTTCCATAACTTTTCGATGTTAATTTCAGGCCCAGAACATCCGTGTACGATAGTATACCGGCGTGATCATTGGAAGCTCCCTGAATGGTCTGCATGGGGAATCCCGTTACCGTTTTTATACTTGAATCGCTTTTCCCAGCTTATGGTTCACAAACCCGGCGAAGGTTTTCTCCTTAGTCTGGTGGCTACTTTGCTTTCACCTCTAGTAAGTCCCTCTACTACAACTTCATTTTTTTTTTCAAATTTTACAACCATTTGAAGTTTGATCACCGACTGTAATTAATAGGGTTGGGGAGTCTCGAAACTTGTGGAAACCTACATCAAAAAGAAGATCCCACTCGCAAAGTTCGACATGGTGCCACAACAAAGCTTCTCAAAAGAAGCCCGCTCATGTGTGATTTGCTACATGCAAGATCCTGAGGAATTCATCGAGGCAGTTGAGAAAGGAAGCATCAAGTTGAAGAAAACTCCAAACTTTAGCTTTTACGACAAAGGTATATCGATTGAAGAAGACAACACGCGTATAGAAGCGGACATTATAATATTCGCAACTGGATTCAAAGGCGTTGAGAAGCTCAAAGACATTTTCGAATCATCAACATATCGTGACTTGATCACTGGTTCACCACGAATCCCTCTATACAGGGAATGCATTCATCCAAGGATACCGCAGCTAGCGATAATTGGATTTTCTGAGAGTTTTTCCAATATTCACACCTCCGAAATGAGGTCGAAATGGGTGGTTGCGCTTCTTGAAGGTGCGTTCAAGCTGCCGAGTGTTGATGAGATGCAGAAAGATATTGGGAGATGGGATGAATATATGAAGCAAACAGCTGGGGAATACCATAATCGATCGTCAATTGGTGCTTTAGAAATATGGTACAATGATCAACTGTGCAAAGACATGGGTATGAATCCTATGAGAAAGAATGGACTGTTGGCAAACCTTTTTGAACCGTTTGGTCCCATGGACTACGCCTAATCAGAAAAAGCTGAATTGATTCTATCAGATTTTGGTAGCATTATTCTGTCCATTATTTAATTTAGTAACTTTATGTACTTTGGGGTGCTTTATTTTTTCTCCATTAAGTTGTTGAATACTGAAAGGCTAGTAATTTTTATTTTTTGAACTAAATCAACTGTGTATCCGAGGAAATAACTATTTTATCATTACGTTTGAAAATGTTTTTCATTCCAAATAGAGCATAGTACGAACCAATCAATTCAAAAGACAAAGGGAAAACACAAAAGAAAAGAAAAAAAAACAATAAAAAACAAACTATCATATGGAGGGTACAACAAACAATAAAAAGGTAATAAAATCACCATTTAGGAATTAATATAAATAAAAATAAAATAACAAGCCATTTACAAATAAACAATTCACCAAATCACTGCACGTGTCATTGTACGTGTAAACCACGGTCGGTATATTTAAAATTTCTATATAAATAAAAATAATAATAAATGTAAAAAAAACCAAGATATTGTCGACTGTAAGTAATTATGAATTAATTTGTTAAGCAAAATAAAATAATAATGTTATTAGGATAAGATTTTGTATTTTCAAAATTTGGATTTAATTTGATTTGTTACCCAAAAAAAAAGGAAATAATAAAAATCATAAAAAATAACGCGTGTCAAAAAGGCATTCTAAAAAACTGACACGTGTTATTTTTAGGTTTCATTTATTAGAAGAGGTAGATATGTTCATCCGCAACATTTAATCAAAAAATAACTTTCAAATAATGTTGGAAAAACCTTTTCCAAGTGTTAAACGGTTTACAACATTGCCTGAGTTGATCTATTTGTATATTTGTGAACAAAACGGAATACTCACACAAAGAGATAAGAGATATTTCATTATTTACATGCATGTTTATTTGTTGCGATTAAAAGACAAGCTTTTCATGCATTGAAACTATATAAGGCTGATGTAGAATATGAACATGCAAAACACATAAAAGTTTTTTTGCTGAGACAATCAAGAGTTTGACATGTTATCCAAAGAGGATGGTATAGTGGCGTAGCCAGGATTTTGTTTTAGAATAATATGAACAAGTAGCAAAATACTGGAAATGATAACAAAATGTAAAAATATATGATTTTAAAGTAAATTGTTCGTTTAAGTTGGAAGTAACTGATTAATTAAGATAATAAAAAAAATATTAATATACAAATCTGATGAAAGAGGAGTTCACTATGGAGATTGAAAGACAATTTGATCTATTCAAAAAATTGTTGACTTAATTCTTTAATCGACATGTCTGAACATGTAAATTATTTCCTTCATTATGAATTTAAGCTTAGAATGGAATGAGTCATGTTACAATTTACAGCCTTAACATTTTTTACTAAAAAGAAATATAAAATCTATATATAATATATTTCACTTCAAATTTGATCAAAGCCCACTCTTACACCCATCTAGCTACACCTATGGGATGGTATCAAATTGTATATGTATATGTATGTCTCTGTGTATGTGTGTGTATATGCGTGTGT